AATAAGATTAAACTATTCAACAAATGAAAGGGTCTTATCAAGTTGTTTTCACAAACCCCATAACAAATCATGTGTTGTTGTCGTCAGAGTTACAATCAGAGAGAGAGAGAGAGAACAAAACGGTTAGGTAAGACAAAAAAAGGGCTACCGTCACATGCCTTCTACTTGTATATATACGTACACATCTACTTAGATGAAATCAAATGTTAGACATAAATTGTCACTTTACGTCCTGACACTTGTCATTTAAAAATAATACAAGATATACAAACACACATACACGCATACATACATACAAACACACACACAAACGCGCACATCCATGCTTATGTCAAATAGAATTAGTTCCAATCGCGCACGCACGCACGCAAGCATGCAAATAAACCATTAAAAAATCGATGAAAATAAGTATTTTCTTTGTGACTTTTCGAATAATGACATTATACAAACCTTATCGTTCGTTTGTTGTGTGTAGAAATTTCATTTCATTCCGAGTTTGATTACAAATAGAGAAAATCAGTGTATACCGTATACCAAATAGTATTGGACATTTGTTGTTCCCCTTTACACTTTAGGACTCTTTAGGACGTTTTGGCAACATGTCACCCATTTGGGATACAATTGGAATCCTCTATGAATTTGAACTGGTTAGAATTCACGATTTTAGCGTGACTATCACAGCTGATGACCGAAGTGAGACAACGATGCTTATTATCTATCACCAATGAATGATATGCCTAATTGTGACGGTGGACTGACTGGATGATTATGCGTCGTCAGACAGTGAGTGGGAAACGAGAAACGGGACAAGGATATCCTGGACCGACCGACGTGAAGAACCTAGAACACCAGGATTTCGCGAGTGGATGATTTATGCTTGATGTCACACAAAACCGACAAACTGGTCGAAGAAGCAGCCAGCGAAGACAGGACTCCAGGTGATGAACATAGACAAGACGAATGTTATGAAAATGACCAAACAACCAACCAACAACAACAACGACATCAGCAACATCCAGCGACAATCACCATCAACGGGAAGGATTTGAAAGTGGTCAGTTAGTTCATTCACTTATCTAGGGAGCATTGTCTCAACTACAAGCAGTCGGAACAGACGAGGGTGTCAAATCGAGCGAGAATCGGGTAGGCGAGTAAGAAACACATTCACTCATCAACCTGAAACCAATCTGGAAATCTTCGTCACTCAGCCAGCATCAACAACAAAATTCAGTCGGATTTTCGATACAAACAACGTCAAGTCAGTCAGTTCTTCTATACGGACCAGAAACTTGGCGGGCAAGTCACAAAGAATATTTCCAACAGCCTGTTGCACACCTTTATCAACAACTAACTGTCTTCACTCTATGCTGAAAATCAAATGGCCAGCCGGAAAGAATCACCAACAAGAAACTATGGCTGGGAACCAATCGCCGCCCAACAAATATCCAGGAGAAAGTGGAGATGGATTGGACACTCGCTCGCTGAGGAGGCCGCTGGGTGACATCGCGCGCGCGTCAGGCCATTGCTCGAGTGGGACATCGGTGCAAGGGTGACATGGAGGAGATCGTGTGAAAAGAAGTTGAAAGAGTATGGACTAACATGGACGCAGGTGAAAAGTACACCAGAAGGAAGACAGAAGTGGCAAGTGAAGACGTGCAGTTGAAGCCCTACGTTCCACTAGAAACCCAGGGGAACAATAATAATAATAATCAACCGATGTCATCAGCTAGTAGTTGGCCTCGCAACCGACCTGGTTAACTCCTCTCACACACAGAGACACACTAGCTCTTGAAAATTCATTCATCCAATACTCACCCAAGGATTGGTTACAGGACGAAGTTGTCTAGAGGTCAAATGAGGAGTGGTGGGTGAACACAGTGGGATCTACCAAGTCGAGTGTGAGGATAAATCCTCGCCGATAACATTTGCTGGAGGTCACACCAAAATCACGAATTAATAGAAGTCCCGTTGGAAGACGGTCTGCGAGTTTGATCTGGGCGAGAATCCTGGCGAGTGTGTAAGGCTACTTTAGTTAAAGCTCGGTAAACCGTATAAGGGTTTATGATCCTTACTAGTCACTGGGGCTCACCAAAATTTCAATGCAAAACTTCGAACAACATAAGTAGAGCAAACCGAGAAAAGCGGAGGAACTAAACTGAACAGGAATATTACTGTTATCTATTATTATTTAAACATAAACTCGGCACAATATAGGTGGGCTGTGTACTGCTGATAACACCCATCAGTAGTATACGAACAGACTTGCATTGGTGTAAAAAAATCAAATGCCAGGAAGATACATTCCATGTCAGAGAAAGCAAATGATACAGCGTTGCACGGAGATATATGAGAGACATGTGAAAGGAACATAAAGAAAGAAAATATGAAGGAAGGTCAGAAGTAGCATAACACAGAAGATCTGAGCATATGGTGCGTCATTGAAGATAAGGTGTACATAATTCGGCTACTATTGAGATACCAAATGGCAAATAAACATTCCTTTACCACGTCTTACATGGACACCATGAGGTGTTCGCCACACAAGTGTTGTTGTCTCACAGTTTTTGTGAGAGCTGGAATACTGTGCCCAGACGCATATACTGGAGGTGATTGTATTAAAGGGCCATCCGCACCCCGAACCTTCAAACTTGAAGTCTGATTCATAAGGAAATACAGTGGAACAGTGTCAGAAGTTACGTCCCCATAGCCTTCCGTTCATACGTTATTTAGTGCTACTTTTCTGGATTCTGAAGTCCATTTCCATACCATAGGTTTGGAAGCAGGGGTTTCCCAGTTCCCCTAAAGTAGGCAGACGTATATGTCAGGTTTTAAAAGTCAGACATTCGAATACACTATTTGACTCTTATGAAAAACACCTGCCTATATCAAGTGAACACAGTAGGACGGGAACTATCTGATAGAGGCTGGGAAGGCGTGGTCACAAAAGATCATTTCGAGTGAAAGACCGAAGTGCACTCACCCTCAGCGGTACATAATCGTTTATGGTAGAGAAGTAGTAATTACATAGGGAGTAATGCTTCCCTGTCATTGAGGTCGAAACTATAAGCCATGTCACTTACAGTTAATCAAGTCCTAGGCTTTCAGCCATTGAATATTCCACCCCATTTACTTTAATCTGCAGAGGATGGGGTGGAGGAGAATGGGTAATATCATCAGACTTCACACACACACACGCAAACATGATAAGTGTGACTCATTGTCCAGCACAACTGACTTCTAATTAACCAAATAACTAATTTACAGTGATAGACAAGATTTGTAGCTCAGGTGGATGATTTTCATATGGTTGTGTTCTCTGATATAGCTGGATAGTTAATTTGCGAAGCTTCCATCGCCCTACTAGGCGACATCTTCAGCGCATACTTCAATTTTGATGAAGTGACCTTTCAGATTTCTCCACGAGTTTATTAATCATCTCTCCTGGTGACCTTGAACGTGACTGGTTGTTTATGTGCGTTTTCACACCTTCTAGGTTACTTGTAATGGAACTGATTGTTTCTTTAACTTGAACTTTGACCCTTCGTGTTTGTGTGAAGTTTCTTTCTTATCGATTGATAAATTTTGTCTATCTCGATGTGTCTATTGATTGATGATTCACAGGAATACCATGCAAGCTTCTAAAAATTCTCTAGCCCTCTTCTTGTTGTTTCCTCTGTCTAATATTTGAACGTTGGTTGTCCCAGTCGAATTGGTGTCTGTGGTTGTCTGTGTGTAGTGATATGAGGGAGGGAGTGGATGTCATATCTTTTGACGGCTAGCTTATGTTCGTGGATACGAAGACGAAGGGGACGTCCACTTTGGCCAATGTAGTGTTTTTCACAGTTGTTACAATTTATTTTGTAGATGATGTTGGTTTTATCTTCTTTCGTTGTTCAGTCTCAAGAGTTTTCACAAGACTTTTCAAACCTTTAGGAATTGACGTCGTACACAAACCAACAAAGTCGCTTCACTTAATTCTATGTCAACCGAAAGATTCAACAACGAAAGAAGATAAAACCAACATCATCTACAAAATAAATTGTAACAACTGTGAAAAACACTACATTGGCCAAAGTGGACGTCCCCTTCGTCTTCGTATCCACGAACATAAGCTAGCCGTCAAAAGATATGACATCCACTCCCTCCCTCATATCACTACACACAGACAATCACAGACACCAATTCGACTGGGACAACCAACGTTCAAATATTAGACAGAGGAAACAACAAGAAGAGGGCTAGAGAATTTTTAGAAGCTTGCATGGTATTCCTGTGAATCATCAATCAATAGACACATCGAGATAGACAAAATTTATCAATCGATAAGAAAGAAACTTCACACAAACACGAAGGGTCAAAGTTCAAGTTAAAGAAACAATCAGTTCCATTACAAGTAACCTAGAAGGTGTGAAAACGCACATAAACAACCAGTCACGTTCAAGGTCACCAGGAGAGATGATTAATAAACTCGTGGAGAAATCTGAAAGGTCACTTCATCAAAATTGAAGTATGCGCTGAAGATGTCGCCTAGTAGGGCGATGGAAGCTTCGCAAATTAACTATCCAGTTATATCAGAGAACACAACCACATCAAAATATTTCACCACAGTTTCAAAACTCAATTAGGTAAATGACAGAGAGAAAATGAAAAACTTATTTTTTTTAATTTTTTTTATTTTTGATTTACAGCTTGATTCCACACTGTATTTTTGGTACAAGTATGGAATTTTCAGCATGGATATCGGTAGCCCAAATTTTGCAGGCCGACCATAGATATCAGGTGTGCGCCGGCGTGGGCTCGAACCCCGGACCATGTGCGTGGTCGGCGAGAGTCCTAACCACTGTGCCACCGACGCACAGTCGCTTAGAGTCTTTCTTTTTGTTCTTAAAAACGATCACATCATAAACAGTGCGGTTGAATTAAAACAAAAATTCAAGGTTAATTAACAGAATGTTACATCATATATATATGTATGACAATAAATACATCAAAGTGATTACCTCAAATGAATAGATAGGATCGAATTTTTCAACCAAACGTTCCACAACACGATCGGTCTTAAACCACTATAGTAAAGTAAAGTAATAGATAGAGAATAGAAAAAAAGAATGAAAAATTAACTCAAATGAAGTCAAATAAACATTAAAAATCCGATATGATACCCCCCCACACTCCCGCCTGTAGAGTTGCTGGTCATAAAAATATGGGACACATTCTATATCCTGATGGTTATTTTTTGCTTGCATTGAGAAAAGATACATCGTCTGACTGACTTCCTAAAGGCTTACCAGTGTAGACAAAGGGGGAGGGTGAAGGCAAAGATACCTGACAAACCAACAACAACAGGCACCAATCACTTTCAAAGAGAGAGAGAGAGAGAGAGAGAGAGAGGGAAATTTGAAAGAAGCTACCTCGGTCACTTACTTATCTAGGCAATAACGTTTCAACTACAAACGGCACATAAAATGATGTCAAAACCAGCCAGGACTGGGAAGGCAAGAAAGATCTTCATTAATCTGTACTCACTCAGTCACGAAACCTACTGTACTAGACAGTCCTGTCAAGCCAGTCAATGCTTCTATAAAGTTTTGGAGACTTGAAGTGTGTGTCACAGAAAGCATTTTCAATAGTCTGCTGTAGACTTCTGTTATAAGTTCATCACCATGAGGTCATTTTTTGCGGTGTTCTCAAGTTGGTCAATTGGTAAAGATAACAAAACCAGGTAGGTGTAGATTGATGGATTTGATCAGTGTGTAAAATTATACAAAAGCAGCGTGTGTTTACATAACGAAATTGCTTATCACATTCGTGTTATTATTATTATTGTATCCTTTAGTTCCTAGAGGAACATAGGGCTTCAGCCGCCCAAGTCTCCATTGCGTTCTGTTTTCTGACAACTTTTTAACCCCACTCCAGGTCTGTCCACATGCTTTCATCTCCTCCTCGCATGACCTCCTCCAAGTCACCCTTGCACTGACGACCAACTCGCCGCCTCCCTTTCGGGTTCCACTCGAGCGATGGCTTGTCTAGTGATGTCACTTGATGGTTTCCTCAGCGTATGGCCAATCCATCTCCATTTCTTCCCGCCTATTTGTTTCACAATCGGTTCCCGATTGTTTCGCTCCCAGAGATCCCTGTTGCTGATCTTTTCTGACTGGCCATCTGATCTTGAGTATTGAGCGAAGACAGCTGTTAATGAAGGTCTGAAGTTTGTTTGAGATGCTCTTTATGACTCGCCAAGTCTCTGATCCGTATAGTAGCACTGACTTTACATTGCAGTTGAAAATCCGGATCTTATTTTTGGTGCTGAGTGCTGTTGACCTCCACACAGATTTGAGAGTAATGAAAGCTTGTCTTGCTTTTCCGATTCTGGCTTTGATATCCTCGTCAGTTCCGCCCGTAGTTGAGACGATGCTTCCCAGGTAGGTGAAGGAGGCTGTTTCTTTCAGGTTCCTCCCATTTGTGCCGGCTGATTGTCGTCTGTTGTTGTTGTTGCTGTTGATGTTGGCTAGGAATCTTCATCACCTCTGTTTTATCTATGTTCACTTGAAGTCCTATCTTTGATGCTTCTTCTGCCAAATTGTTGTTTTTCACTTGCATATCTTCCAGTTTATGGGAAATCAGACATATATCATCGGCGAAATCCAGATCCTCCAAGTCTTTTGTGTCAGTCCATTTTATGCCTGTTCCCCCGTTGGTTGCCTTTGTCTGTCGCATTATCCAATCTACTGCAATCAGGAGGATCACTGGTGATAGTAGACAACCTCGCCTCTCTCTTTTCCTCACTTCGAAGGCTTCCGTAAGTTTCCCGTTGTGGATTACTTGGCATGCAGCATTGTCGTATAGCTGTTGGACGAGATGTATAATTGTCGATGGGACCCCGTAGTAGCGAAGTAGTTGCCAAATGACCTCTCGATCGACGCTGTCGAAGGCCTTCTCAAAGTCGATGAAGTTGAGATAGAGAGGTGACATTCGTGTTGATTTTGTCTTTTTATAGGGTATGGGGGATAGGTGTTGTAACCAAGTCAAATTCTGTTTTAGTCCATCATTCCTATTCACAAGACAATTTGGATTCCATCTGATATAAAGTGCTTTTGATGATATCAGACGACGTACTTTTTGATTTCTGAAATTTTTCCGGATGATGATTTCAATATTGTCAAAGTCAACTGGGTACAGAATCTTTAGGGATTTGGTCTTTTATATGGACAAGGTTGTTTTGAAGTGTGTCCGATGTTTTGAAGAAAACTCTAATGTCGAGCTGATTGAGTACTCTTCTGATATCGTCTGACGTCTCTGCTCTATATGGAATGACGACTGTTGAAGTCCATGTTTTCGGAATGCATTTTCAGCCATACTTAATGTCAGTGTTGATTTGGTTGATGAAGTTCCTTGGGTAGTTGTTTTGCTTGAGAGTTTCAGTGATGTTTGATATTTCTTCTTCTTTTTCTTTCTCATCCGTTAACATCAAAGAGTTGGCTCGTTTAGAAAGAAAAACACGATCCAGACCTTCAACACCACTATCAAATTAATGCTTCCATATAGTTCAGAGAGTTAGCATGCGCGTCTTCAAAGGCTGCTTTTCAAAGAGGTAGCTGTAGACTCTCATCAACAGTTGTCATCTTTGCTCCACACAGAAGATAAGGTGGTCAGCAAGAAAAAGCAGTTAACAAGGAACTCTGTCCACTGACAGATCGATCAAAAATCTGTCATCCAACAATTATACAGAACAAAATAGAGGTCGATAAGAAATGCGCTTTGAGGAGACCATTGAGTGATATCGGGTAGGCAAGGCCTTCATGTGGAAACCGAGGGGGGGGACGAGTTTTGGAGCCCATGGGTGGCAATTGTGGAACCAGTTAAAGAGAACAGACTGAAACGGTGCTATGCTGTTGAAGCCCTCTCTATGTTCCACTCGGAACCTAAACGAATAATAATAATGATAACACAGAAGAGAAGCAATGAAGACTTACTTCAAAGACAAGGCATTGTTGTTTCGTTTCTTGTTGTGCTAACTGAATGATTAGATCAGCTACAGCGCATGATTCCAAGCATGAGAACACTTTGTTGAGAAAATCTTGTGATGATCGTAAGTATGGAATAACCTGTTTTTTTATAGTACAGACAAAAAATACAAAAGAAAGTAGTGGACATACAATTAGAATGAACAAAAATTTATATCAATATACTACTGATATTACTATGCTAAGTAGGGAGATAAACAGCAGTCCGTAACCAAACAAACTGAGTGAATTTCCAACTAAAAGCAGTACTATTATTATTATTATTTCATTATTGCCTTCGGTTCCGCGTGGAACCATAGGGATTCAACAGCGCATCTCCATTTCATCTTGTCCTCTTCATCAGGCTACATCACGATTCCTCATAAGCTCTCGTCTCCTCCTCACCCAGTTTACTAATTCACAGGCCAGTTCCAGGCCACGGTAAATGAGGAAAGGTTAGGCTTGGTCCTCCATCCCTAAATGAGGTAACTAAAGCTGTCACTAGTCTGAAACAAGGCAAAGCAGAAAGACCTGATGGAATGACTCCAGTGGTATTTAAGTTCGGTGGAGACAGTTTACTGTCTGCGTTACCTGAGGTACTGGGCAGCGTCTGCGAATCAGAGGAAGTCCCGTCCGGTTGGTGTAAGTCCTTGATTATTCACTTATACAAGAAGGGAGAGGATTCTTCCTGTGATAATCACAAGGGGATTAACTTGACTAATATGACATCTAAAATCCTAAGCTAAATAATATTACGTACACTAAGTGGTACTCGGGAGGAACAAACGCGAGAGAACCAGGTAGGCTTTAGACCAGGAAGAGGGTGTATTGATCATATCTTCACCCTTCAACAGATTCTGAAACATAGACATACTTACCGTCGGCGTCCAACAATCGTCATATTTGTTGACCTAAAGGTGCAATTCGATACTGTCGACCTAGAGGTACTCTGGTGATGCTTGGCTGTAAAGGGAATTCCGAGAGAATACATTGCACTGATCAACGCACTCACTCTACACGAACTCATGCAGTCAGGTGAGCGCTTACGGCGAGTTGTCATCTCAAGTGGTGACAACCAGTGGTGTCCGTCAAGGATGCCCATTATTCCCTTTTCTATTCAACTTCATCAGAGATGTACTAATGGATTTAACCCTAAGTGACTTCAGCGACCCAGGGATTGACTTGCTACCAGGGAGGGAATAATCTCGTTGACTTAGAATATGCAGATGATATAGTCCTTCCGTCTAGGAGAGGTGAAGACGCTGACAAAATAGTGCAGAGTTTGCTGAACGCCTTGAGCTGCGATCTACGAATGTTTGGCATAAGATTCTCTCTCGACAAATGTATAATGTTACGGGACTGGACTGACGTCTAGCTTATAAATAGGGAGTGAAGTGGTTGCTGGACCACGTTGACCGCTTCACTTATTTCGGTAGTTGCATCAGACAGCCCCAAAGGGCTGATCGCTGATGAAATCTCAACATGGATACAGACGGCTAGTTTCGCATATGCCAGTTTACTCCGCCTCTGGTGTGGACGCGATATCCGGCTACTGACCAAAGAGCGGGTGTACTGCTCAGCAGTCACTTCACTCCGTCCTCCTTTATGGCTGTGAATGAGACCTGGTCATTGAGAGTGGAAGACATGAAAAGGACGGCTAGTTGTCTTTGATCATAGGTGTCTGCGTTCTCTTTCCCGTGTGAAGCGGTATAATAAGGTGAGCAATATTGAGGTTAGGCGTCGAGTGCTAGGTAGGTAGGAGGGGAAATCAATCGACGAGGCTGTGAAGCTGGGATGGTTAGGAAATGTGTTACGCATGCCTATCCTAGACATCGCCTTCCTCAACAATGGGGAATGTTAGCTGACATGGAATCAAGTTAAAAAACAGCCAGTGGTGGTCAAACTAAAACATGACTTCATCAGTCAATGAAATCCACAACAATTAGTTTCAGTCAGTCAGCCAGTCACGTAAGAAGGTGTAAACTTCCTGGCTGAGGTCTTCGGGACGGTGAAAACCAATGGCTGGAAACAATTGGTGATATGGCTCAAAATCGTTCTTAATAGCTGGTGCAGATGCATCCTCTCCGTGTGACTTATGATTCCCAATGGAACTATATTGTTCTCCGTTATTACTATTTCTTTTGTCTCATATCCCTGTCTGCTGTCTCTATTTTGCATTTCTCTTTACTTTCTTCTCTTGCTTTGTGTGCTACATGGAGGGAGTACGGCAACTCGAACTGCTCCTGAACATCAATGCAAAGTTCTATGTTGAAAACAGACAGACAGTACTTGAAGAAAATAGCACGAATAAAGGAATCGGAGTAAACTAACTTCTCTGAAAAGTTACCATTCTCTTCCCTATTTTCAGCACTACAGCTTTGAAGCCGCCTCAATTGACTAATTTCTTGATAACATACAGAGAGAGGAACAGAATTCAACAGGGAATATCGTTGAGAAATTCAAGTCAGGAGAAAAGTTTAAAGTCTGACGGTATAAACGACTGATTGATTGATTGATTTATATGCGTTAGTTGAACTAAAACGACTGGTGTCTCAATAAATATATCCAGTTAAACAATCACTCAAACTCCCAACTGTTGGAAAGTGGGTTAGAACTGACTATGCCATTCCACCTATCGACGCTTTGGCCACCAGGTAGCGTCAATCGGACTTAACAAAAAAAACATACCTGGTTAATCAATCAGTGACCTTGTCAAGCTACATCGACTAAGCTGAGAAGGATATGCGTTTCCCAATATTAGAGTCAGGTTGGAAAAGAACTAGTTGGTGGTCAAACCAAAATATGGCTTCACCAGTCAATGAAGTCCATAACAGATAGTTTAAATAAGTCACGTTGAGAGGTTTAGACTGGTTTCTTGGTTGGGATCCTGGGGATGGTGAGAGCCGAAGAAGGAAACCACCTTACGGAGAGTTCTTAACAATGCAGGCAGGAATAAAAGTGGCTCGCATTCAAACTGCCCACAAACTCAATTACAAACAAGCCTTGTAGGTTAAAGGATCCTGCTGTGGAGCCAACGAAACAAAGTCATTTTGTTTATCTAATGCCCTGCCTACAATGATTGTAAGATCAAATACATAGCTCAAAGTAGTAGAACAGAGTCAGTCAGAATAGTGGAGCGCAAAAACCCAACAAAATCTAGATTAGTTGACCCTAATAAGATAATAAATCTGGAGAATAGTTCAGCTATAGCACTACATGCAGTTACACACAACTATACAATAGAATGGGAGGGATAGGATGACAGTTTTAAAATCTAATGTAATAGAATGGAGGGAACAGAATTGATGGCGGAGGCCTTATTTATCAAATCAACTGAACCAAACCATGTGTAACAGGAATGATTAAACACCTGTTCACCTGGACATTCGGAAAATTCCACTACCCCAACGACGACAAACAGAAGAGAATAAAGAAAACCATAGTCTTATGGACTTAGAATATGCAGATGACATAATCCTGTTAGGGGAGGATGCTGACAAATTGCAGAGTCTTCTGAACACCTTGAGCAGCAATCTTCGTATGTTTGGCATGAGACTCGCCCCTGCAAAATGTAAGATGCTGCTCCAGGACTGGACTACGTCAACTCCTAGCTTAGTGATAGGGAGTGAAGTGATAGAACATGTTGACCACTCCACCTATTTGGGAAGGTGTATCAGCACCAACGGACTTATTGGCGACGAAATCTCACCACGGATCCAAAAAGCTCGAGCTGCTGCTCCAGCTGACTTACACCATCTCTGGCGTAGGCGTGACATCCGACTATCAACCAAGGGACGTGTGTACTGCTCATCAGTTCGCTCCGTCCTTCTCTATGGCTCTGAAACATGGCCAAAACGAGTTGAAGACATGAAAAGGTTGCCTCCTTTCGATCATAGATATCTACGATCTCTTTCTCACGTTAGGTGGTTTAATTAATAAGGTAAGTAATGTTGACGTTAGGCGTAGAGTGTTGGGCAAAGAGGGAAAATCAATCGACGAGGCTATTAAGTTACATAGATTGAGATGGCTAGGTCAGGTGGTGTGCATGCCTAACCATCGCCTCCTCCCACCCGACGGGCATTACTAGCTGATATAGGTAGTGCAGGTTGGAAAAGTGTAAGTGGTGGCCAAACAAAAACACATGGCCTCATCAATCCATGAAATAAATCCTTGACAGTTAAACTGAGTCGGTCAGGTAGGGAGATGTAGACTTCCTGGTTGGGGTTCTCGGGACTGACTCTAGGAATCAATGGCTGGAGACAATAGGTGACATGGCTCAAAATTGTTGTCAATGGCCAGTTCAGATGTATTCAGTCTCCGTAATCTTTTATGTTTCTTTCTACCATCACCCATTCTGTTTCACTCTTATACCTGTCAAACTCTATTAATTCTCTTCACTCATCTTCTTGTCTACCTTTGTGTGGTATTTGGAACGTGGCAACTGGAACTGGTGCACTTCGGTGCCAAGTTCTATGTTGAATCCAGATAGACGGAGACAGATAAAACTCAAGTTTCGAAGTTGTATGATTATAATTGATGTGATGATTATGAACAATAATCAGGTGTGTTCGAAACCTTGTCATCCGGTAAGTAATACTATTGTTTTATTACTATGTGTGTCTGATATATCTAATAAACAAATTAATATGGAATTACATACCACACCATAGTGCCCAAGTTTTACACAACTGTTGTTCTTCCAAATCCCTACGAATCTTTCTCCCTCACTCACTGTCTTTTGAATCTGTCTTTACTCTCTTCTCTTGCTGTGTGTGGTAAATGAAGGAAGTGTGGCAACTTGAACTGGTGCACATCTGTGTGAGGTTCCATGTTGGAACCAGTCAGCCAGTAGTCAGTTAGTACAGTGTGTGTTTATATGAAATTTGAATGTATGAGACAGTCTTTAATGTTTTTTTTCCTTTACGTTCTTAGGGGAACATATGGGGCTTCAAACTACACACGTCTGTCTGTCTCTTTTCGGCATAGAACTTTCCGCCGATGTGAAGCAGTTCGAGTTGCCACACTCCCTCCTTGTAGCACACAAAGCAACAGAAGAAATGCAAAATAGAGACAGTAAATAGAGGTTTGAGACAAAGGAATAG